TTACTACTTATAAGGACACATAGAAGTAGTATGTAATGCAATGTCTCTGGAAAAATTAATTCAAGGGACATACTAGCAGTAGAAGTTCTGGAGGAAAGAATTACATTTTTTTCATCTTTGAATGTCCCACTTTAAAGGAAAACAATTCGGCGAATAGTTTGTAAATTTTCGAAGAATATTCGTAGCTCAAGATGTGGGTATCCGAATTGATTTGTCAACTTGGCTGAAATTTCGGTTGATAAAATTTCAACTAGTCAGATTCAACACACATTCGTACAGTCACTAAACACCCAATCAGGTTGAAGTCAAGCAAGACAGCTTGATTTAAATGTGAACACGTTATCGAGTCTAGCATGATACTGAAACGTTCGCCAACTAAAACTACTGCTCAGAGAACAGTTCAAACTCAATAGTTTGTAGACCGAATTGTTCATGATAAGAATTCTTACAGGTGTTGATTCCGTTTAATTCCCAGCTGTTATGTTAGTGGGTTGAATCATTCATTGAAAATTATTGATGTGACAAAGTAGTCATATTCAGACTATTTGAACAGTCTAGTTCTTCCACAACCCTACTTTGATTGGGTAAAGTACCGATAGATTTCGTCTCAAACAAGGAAAATATTAGTCCAATGTTTAGATAAGTTTGACCAGCTTTATAAAATCTACGCATTGATGGGCGTGGGTTTATAACTAAACGTTTCATCAAGTGGTATATTTCAAAGGGTATACTGACTATGAAGTAAAGCGTAAGACAACCAATGAGGCTTCAAGACTTTCTGAGGAGTTTATTCATCTCATCTTTACTCTGATTTACCTTTTGTGACCGTTTTTTTTACTTTTCAGTGCCATGGTGAACTTGAATTAAAGATGACATGTGATTTTCTTGGTATAGAATTCTTTCTTGAAGGAATAATCAACAATCATAGCTTTCTGTCTCCAATTTTACAGAAATTAACTGAAGTTAAATTCGGGAATACTTCTCGAAGCTAGTCACCAATGAGCATCAGTTCAATTAAATTTTGTTTTATTGTTCTATTTCACGAATACTCTTCAGCTTTGGCAGAAAGTTTAAAATTAAGAGGATTATTACCAAAAAAGGTATTTTGAAATTATGAAGACAATAATCTAAAGTTATGCAACGAAATGATTGCTAAGAACTAATTGTACAGGGGAACAAGAAAAGTAAGGAAAAAAAATAAGCATGAAAATGAGTTCGGTTTTTTGCACCTCAAGGTGAGAAGAAGAATTGATGGTATACTTCAAAAGACTATCCATCTATTATTATTATAGGATTTCAATGGTGTCCAAATGATGTCAGTCCATATTCGTTATTAACTTGAATACTGAAGTAGTTAACACATTTTTTAGCCATCGAAGGTCGTTTAGTTGACCCTAATAAAAACCGAATGGAAGTACTTCTCATCAACACTTAATTGTAGTAGAGTTTCCTTTTATACGTCTTGATATACAAACTTAACAACCAAGAAAGATTGGTTACGGGAGAGTAAATAGTTTCATGTTCTCCATTCCTAAGCGCTGACCGAATGCTCTAGATTAATGGTGCTAGAGACTCACTATCATGGTTCACATTGATTGATGTGAACAGGTAGTTGAAGACTGTTGGCAAAAAGGCCAGCTTGACCTAGATAACATGAGTTGTCCACCATCCTATGACCAATCGGTGCATATCATCAAGTAATACCTTAATGGATGACGTAATTTCATATCTTGCAGGAGAAAAATAGTTCTCTTGACATAGCAGATACCTGTTGCCGTTCCAAGACAACCACAAAACGCAGATTAAGCAAGAACTCCTGCCAGTCGCATCTAACCACTCAACATCTCTTGATATATTTGAATAAAGTGATAAGGTCAAAATTTGCTGGATAAAACGATGATATCATCATTTTATTTCACAGATACTCCTCAGCTGAAATATTAAGTCTAAAAGTAAAGGCATTACTAGCCAAAAAGATATTTCAAACTTATGAAGTCAATAATCTCAAGTTGGGTGTTAAAATCATTGACGATCCAAATAACGTGTAAGAGAACTAGTTGTACAAGAAAAGTAAGAAAGAAATATGAGCAAGAAAATGAGTTCAGTTTATTGAACCTCAAAGTGAGAAGAAGAATTGATGGTATAATTCGATAGATTATCCATTCATAAAAAAGACAAATGGAACAGACAACTGTAACAGTTTCTGTCCTTCCAACTATTAGTATGACCTAGTCAATACACTTCACAATAGAGTCAGGAAACTATGCTTTGTGAACAAGTTAAAGGCAGAAGTAAACACTACTGAAAAGTGTTCTAAAGAGAAAAGGATATTCTAAGAGATTTATTATAAAGTAAGCAAAAGAGTAGGTCAAGAGAAATAAATAACCAATTGTAGAAAAGAAGGTTTTCATATATATATATATACCTTCCATTCAAGGGAGATGTAGCATCCCAGAGAACAAACACAAGAATGAAAGAATTACTGACATGGAGCTTTTGTGAAGTGAAACTTGTATGAGTATACAATATCACACCTTCGCTTAATGAGTTCTAAATAGATAATTTCCTATCTCATGTCACCACCAAGTGTATTTATGAGTTGACATGCACTTGTGATAGTAAGTACATTGAATGGACTGAGATGAGAGCGTCCATTTGGTTTGCTAAGCATACCCCAAGAATTTGTACTTTAAACGAATTAAAATCCTAAACAGTGCAATTACCATACACCCTGTAGACATAGGAAATGAAACTGAATCTCGAAGTGTTTTTGAAAAGGTGGAGAACATGTTTGAATTACTGTGCTTCAAGGATGTAGCCGTAGCTGAACACTTTCAACCTGACATTTAAATACAAAACGGTAGTCTGGTTAATCTCTCAATCGACTGGTGAATACGATATGATCTTGTTTTATTTTCATTTTGATTAAGTAACTCTTTATTTATTTATTTATAATTAATTCTCTTTTCTAACATTCATTTCTTGCTCCTTTGCATCATCATAGAACAGAGCATAGAATGGCAATCAGCTCTCTACCTCAACTTCATCGACTTTGAGAAGGCCTTTGACAGCGTCGACCGAGAAGTAATTTGGAAACTGCTTCATTACTACGGAGTACTGCAAACCTTTATCCGCCTCATTCAACAACTATATGAAGATGCCACATGCCAAGTAATTCACAATGGGAAGCTCAGTGATGCCTTTGGAGTGGAAGTGAAGACAGGAGTGAAACAAGGTTGCCTACTATCCCCCATGATATTCCTGATTGTGGTCGACAGGACTGGATCATACAGCAAACAGTGGGCAGCGAGAAGAGGGGGATACACTGGACTGCGGAAAAGAACCTAGAAGACTTGGATTTCGCCGATGATGACTTGTGCCTGATGTTACACAAACTTGAAGATCTACAGGCGAGAACTAACAAGTTGGCAGAAGAGTGGGGCAGCGAAGACGGGACTTCAAGTGAATATAGAGAAGACAGAGGTGATGAAGATACCGCACCAACAACTCCAACAACAACAACAAACTCCAGTCACCATCAACGGGAGAAACTTAAAGGAAGTAACCTCCTTCACCTATCTAGGAAGCACTGTTTCAACTACACGCAACACAGGCACAGACGAGGATGTCAAAGACAGTCAGAATCGGAAAGACAGCAAGACAGGTGTTCATTAACCTGAAACCAGTGTGGAGATCTGCACTCCACTCACCATGTGGAACAAGATCCGGATTTTCAACACCAACATCAGTCAAGTCAGTGCTTCTGTATGGTTGAGAGACTTGGCGCGTCACGAAAGGCATTTCCAATAAACTACAGACATTCATCAACAACTGCTCACGCTGGCTCGATACTGAAGATCAGATGGCCAGAATAATCAGAATAAGCAACAAGGAACTCTGGGAACCAACCAACCAAGAACCTATCAGGCAACAAATATGCAGGAGGAAGTGGAGATGGATTGGGCATACACTGAGAAGGCGGACTGGGGACATCACGCATCAGGCCAGTTGCTCGAGTGAAATTCCCATGGGAAGCGACGAGTTGTTCGTCCGATGCGAGGGTGACATGTAGGAGATGGTGTGAGGAGGAAATGTGAGCTTGTGGGCTGTCGTGGAACCAGGTTCGAAAGATCTCAGAGAAGAGAGGTCACTGGAGACGTGCAACTGAATCCCTGTGTTCCACTAGGAACCCAAGACACTAATAATAATAATGTTATATAGATTATCAATGATTTTGTTGTATAGCTAAAAGTCGATTTACTTTAAGACTCTTTACTACAGCTGAGAAGTATTCATGAAATAAAATGACTTAAATAGGTCAAGATGCGAATCAATCATATAACACCTTCCATATTGTATTATTCAGGATAATTATCATCTTCGAAGTATTAAACATTTTCAATAACCTTCTTATATATATATATATTCTCAATTGTCTCAGTAACTTTCATCCAGTTAAATGAGTAACATGGTCAAACTTATTGGGTAAGTGACGTAAATGTTTCTATTCAGTAGACGAGGAGAAAACTCGAGTAGGAATAGGAAGTCACATGAACTGTTGTTGACCTGAATCGGTTTTTGTGATGTCTAAATGTTTGAATGTTTCATGTAACTTTGGTTGATAGACAAATGATGATGTAATGAGTTTAGAAGTGGATATAATGAGAAATTTGTGTCAAGGAAGGAATACATCTAACAACTTCTTATTTACATACATCGGTGAGCTAATTTCTAGACAATTTCAAAATTCCAGTTAAAATATTCAATGTAGGTACTAAAGAATATTGAAAATTCTCACTTCTAAAAATTGTATCTCATGAGAAGTATGACTAAATTGTAAATAATTTGTGATAAGATGAAAAGATATGTTCATCTGTCAAATAGTTTTAGAAACACCTTGAAAAAGATCTTCGACTACATCTAATGGTTGAATCCAAGAATAAATAACTTTTTACAACACATTGTAGTAGTTCTTATCTATTTTGTTAAATATTTTTCAGACGATGATATAACCTTCTTAGAGAATATTGAAGAGATATCTGGATATTTAGTTATATATGGAGTTGGTCGAAAAGAGTTACGATTACCACGTTTAAAATTGATCAAAGGTCTTGATTATGTATCATTTAAATCGAGAAAAGTCTCTTTACTTGTCGTCAGTAATTATATGAAGTCAACTGAACAAAATGAAGTATTCAATGAATTCTCTTCACCTTCTGATATGTTATCGTCAACAACAACAACAGCCACACATTCAGATGATACTTTAAAGGCGAAAAATTCCGGTCTTCGGCATCTACAATCACTGGAAATGACTTCACTTATATGTAAGTAAATAATCTGAATGAATATTCTGTTTATGGAATTATATTTTGTCCTTTGGTGCAATAAAGAGAACTGGATGATGACTGAGGTATGACTAGATGATCTAGGGGCTCACCTATTATGTTGTCGATATGAAGGTTTATGGAGATTTATTTATTGATTGAAAGTTAATATTCTTGATAGACTGATATCAGTTGGGGCTCCATTTAAAGCCTGGGAGCATTGGGCAGTTGTTTCGTTCTGGCACTGTATTCCTCCTCCCTAGTAGAGTTATGGGTATGCACCGTTGGGGAGTCCCATTATTACTATTATTTGTCCCTTGGGTTCCTAGTGGAACATAGGGCTTCAGTAGCACATCTCCATTCCACTCTGTTCTCTGCAATCTCTTGAACCTGGCTCCACGACTACCTAGAAGATCTCATTTCTTCATCACACCATCTCCTGCCTGTCACCTGGGGAGTCTCATACTAGGACGAAACAGATATACAGTGGTCTTAGGTTTTCAATCTTTCACCAAACGATGTCAGTTTGTGACGCATACAGAAAATCAGTCATCAGTTTAAAGCTAGATTCTCTGGTCGGGTTGGTTGGTTGGCAATATCATTGGCCTTCATACAATAAATGACAGTCATAGGCTAATACCTCAAGAACGTGTACACTATTGCTAAGTTGTCCTACCGTTAGACTGAATGTCTGAAAAACTAAACAAGTTTCTTCAACTATATGCAGATGAATTTATATAGTCCACAGATAAATTTATAAGTTTATGAAACATAGACAAAATTATTCAACCTATGTATGATTTAATATTTACTGGATTCATCAGTCACATAAAATATTAACTGAGGTAATAATAATGATACCTAACACGAGAATATACTCCATTTGTACAAGAACAACAACTTCACTATCCAGTATTTTATTGCTTGAATGAGTCAGTAAAATTGTGAGGAAGAAAAGTTTAACAATAATGAACTGAATGTTATCGATTTTTATACACATGAAAATAATCTAGGAGAAATATTGAGTACTTTATTCTGATTGGTTCTTTGAAAGATCAAACTATCCAATAAGATTATTCTTACCACAAAGTAGTATTCAATAACTTTACATGTTGGATCTCTATTTTTGCCACTTTCTAACATCATAATATCGAAGTGAAGCAAATATTCTCTTCTATTTAGATGCATTTAACTACTTATATACGTATCTTAACAGTGAGTAGATACATTTTAGAAGGTATATTTCTCATATGATATTCTCTATTCAGTTTATCATTTAGCAAAGGAAGAACAACACATTTTAAAGAATATGATGAATTTTATTGAATTTCATGACTATCTTTTCGATTGTCTACATACAATGGAAATTATAATCTATAAGAGAAATATTATCTACACACCTTATTAACTGACAAAAAGGTAGTGGATTGATAAAGGATAATGAAAAAAACTGATCTATTAATGTGCACTGTGATGCTTAGCTTCCTAGCTTGGTTGCCAAATTGATTGATAGCATTCGGTCTGCACTCAGGACTAGACAATATGAGATTGGTTGTACTCCCGCGACCAATCAATATACATAAGCCAGTCCTACAAGAGGTCAATCGCGGCCCAAATTACTCAGTGGTAAAGTCACTGACTATAACACTGGGGACGCGGGTGTGAATCTCAAACGAGACATCACTCCTGTTGAGGTTGCAGATACGCCTTACTGACGAGGGCCAAAAAGCACGAAACCTAGGTCAAGCAGGGCTTCCTGCCGATTGCCTCCAACCAACTAACATCTATTAATGAAGTCTGAATGAAATAAATTATTATGAAGGAAATTAAAGCTATCCAATGTTCAAATAGTCAGATTGTCATTTTGCTACATATGATAAATCGGAAGATAGGATACAGTGGATTACGTAAGTGTGTTGCGTAAGATCAGTGTGTAAATTCAAGGTTGAACATTGAACATGGACCAAGAACACATTGCTTTCGGGTTAGATAGTGAAGATGAAGTAGAAACCGACTGTGAAATTGATTGTAAAAGAGAATGAAAGTACGAAACCTGAAGGTCTTGAGTTTGATCCCTAGCTGAGTTATGGTTGTTCACTGCTGAAGAGTCCCATACTAGTGCGAAACAGCTGTTCAGTACTCATAGATTTTCAGTCATTTCCTAACTGATATCAGTCTGTGATGAATACTTCCCCGAAACAAAGAATTTTTAGATTAGCCTACACTGACTGACATAAATCGAAAGCTACCATAGAAGTTAGAGGCTAACAACCAATGCGTTTTCGAAATACAAATTCACTTTAATTCCTCTCATAACTGGAGAATCATTGAAAACCTGAGAAAACTGGACTGGATGTCTGTTTCGTCCTACTCTGGTACTTCTCTGCAGAGCACATCTTCAGGGGTGATACAGCCTATGACCATAGAACTTGTGGTGAGTACACTGCTATTCAACCACGGGGTTGATATCCAACGGTCAGCTATTTTCGAATCCACAAGGGGTCGATCACTCAATCCGTACAAAACCACTATCATCATGGCGCACTTGAAAATGATATTTAGTGGTTACAGTTATCTAGCTTAGTAACCACGTTGCAAAAGTGCCCGTTAGAATCCAGTTGGCCTTAAGAAATGAACAACATGAAACCTTTGACTTTCAAGCAGCCAATGAATGTATCAGTGTATTTGATCCAATCCTATAGGAAGTGAGTAACTACCAAGACAGATGAACGATACCATCGTTGACTTTAATGTTGGCAGATCCAGGTTGAGGTGTCTACGAGTTAGAGAGCTCTTTCGAGCTAGCAGATGCACCTTACTGAAGAGTGCTAACAAGCACGAAGTCTAAGTAGGGAGAAGCTTACTACTGACTGCGGCCAACAGGTCTAACATCATTCAGTATACCCTTGAGTATTCTCGAAGCTATAACTGGTTTCAAGAAGATTATATTTAGTGGTTAAAAATATCTTGGTTCCCACAAGAAACTGTTTTAGCAACGGAATTAACGGTCGACTGAGACTAGTGAAAATATTTCCTTTAAACTTCAACAATTCCAAATGGGGTCATGTTAATGGAAAGTTGATTCGCTTTTATTTCAGCTATTGTTCAACATGGAATTTACTTCTATGATAATCCTGGTCTATGCTATACACCATTCACATTGAAATGGGATGAAATGATTGAAAGTTCTGAATTACAAACAATTGACTTATTAGCGATACATTCTGATGCAAATATCTTTTTGTGGTATGAATATTGTCAGTGTAAATATTTAAATCTTTGTACAAATACTAGAAATAATAATGATAAAACAACTACAAAATCTTCATTATTCAATGTTTCAATACAAGTTGAACAATTAACCAATGAATTATCACAACAAATTGATAATGATTTAAAGAAAAGGAGTAATATAAAAAAGAAAAGAGATGTCATGAATATAATTGAACAAGTTAAAGGTATGTTCAATGTATTCAATATTTACAAGAATACATATATTAAAACTATAATGATATGTAAATTCGAAACTTAACAATACTTTTATTAAAAAGTAAATAATTGATATTGGAGAGCTTATATAAATGTGAATAGTTGTGTTAATTTTGTAGATTTGTATAATTTCTATACAATGAATCATTATTTATTATTTATTAGTCCCTTGGGTTCCTAGTGGAACATAGGGATTCAGTAGCACGTCTCCAGTGACCTCTCTTCTCTGAGATCTTTCGAACCTGCTCCCACGACAGCCCACAAGCTCACATTTCCTCCTCACACCATCTCCTACATGTCACCCTCGCATCGGACGAACAACTCGTCGCTTCCCATGGGGATTTCACTCGAGCAACTGGCCTGACGCGTGATGTCCCCAGTCCGCCTTCTCAGTGCATGCCCAATCCATCTCCACTTCCTCCTGCATATTTGTTGCCTGATAGGTTCTTGGTTGGTTGGTTCCCAGAGCACCTTGTTGCTTATTCTTATTATTCTGGCCATCTGATCTTCAGTATCGAGCCAGCGTGAGCAGTTGTTGATGAATGTCTGTAGTTTATTGGAAATGCCTTTCGTGACGCGCCAAGTCTCTCAACCATACAGAAGCACTGATTTGACTGATGTTGGTGTTGAAAATCCGGATCTTGTTCCACGTGGTGAGTGGAGTGCAGAAGATCTGCACACTGGTTTCAGGTTAATGAACACCTGTCTTGCTGTCTTTCCGATTCTGACTGGCTTTGACATCCTCGTCTGTGCCCGTGTCGCGTGTAGTTGAAACAGTGCTTCCTAGATAGGTGAAGGAGGTTACTTCCTTTAAGTTTTTCCCGTTGATGGTGACTGGAGTTTGTTGTTGTTGTTGGTACAATGAATCATAGAATGTGTATAAATTTGATCCTACAAATGTATATCTATTGAATGTCTAGCCAGTGATAAACAACTCCTTACACCTATTAAGTGTGTCTTTATCAAAATTCTAGTATTCAACCATTTCTGAAGTCATTCAGTCATATTTTCTATGAATGTCAATGGTATCAGTTAATTATCCCTCTCTATGTGTTTATGTTACAACTTTGAGAGACTATGATTTACATCATGTGATTGATATTGATAACTAAGAAATGATATTTTAACTCAGTCACTGATTATTGTCTTTCTATACATCTCATTGACTGAATATAGGCGACTATATTTAGTCTCTTCCATAACCATACTACATGTTGTATATTTGATCTATAACACATTGATACAGTATTATTTACTTGATGACCACGCTTCAATGTTCAAATATCACTGTTCATCATCATATCAAATTGAGTAATCACACTACTTTTGTTATCTGGTTTTTTTATACTCCTATAACCCATCTCTGGTCTTAGTGTTGCATCATTCCTATTTGTAAGTGTTGGACGCCGACTTGCTGAACAAACATTCAGTAATCAGTGTCTCTCTTTCCACCTAATTATATTGAAACTCATCTACCTTTGTATGATAACATACTTCCAATTCAACGGTAAGATATATGAACAGATGAAAGGAACAACTCCAATGGGATTACCGACATTTGGACTAATTGCAGAAAAAGTGATAAGATACTGGAGGCGATCATTTTACCTGTGATTAAACCAAAAATTTCCTTTCGCTATGCAGACGATACTTTCGTCATCATTCAAAAAGATGATATAGAGAACATTCACACTTTGATCAACAACGTTTTCAATGACATCAAATTCACAATGGAGGAGGAGTCAAACAACCAACTACCATTCCTGGATGTTTTAGTCAGTGGGACGAATTCCGGAAAACTGAAAACCCAACTGTACACAAAACCAACACACGCTGATCAAATACTCAACCACAGTAGCAAAAACTCAACAATGCACAAAATCAGTTGCGTGCAGACTCTATTCAAGAGAACGAGAACACACTGTAGTACAACAACTTAATGGAGAAACGAAGAAAATTACTTGATGTCCACCCTAAAGAAGAACGGCTACCCACGAAACATTATCAGAAGATGCCTGTCCTGTACAACATCAACTACAAAGTCATCGACAGAAATCAACAAACAGATCATACCACCATACATAAAGAATATATATCAGAAATCATGACAAGATTACTGAGACCACTTGATGGAATCGATGTGGCCACTCATAAACCAATAAATTCCTTACAAACACTATTACACAAACCATAGGATGCAACAGCCGAAGAAGACAAACTGAATATCATTTACAAAATCAACTGCAATAACTTTAGTCAACAGTAAATTGAAGAAAGTGATCGCCGTCTACGTCTTCGTCTACGTGAACACCAATTGACTATCATACGTCACACACGATATTTCCTCACTCATTTCAATTCATGTGGAAAGTAACTATGTACATGAATTGAATTTTGACAATGTAGAAATTTTGGGTGCAAAGAGGAAACACAACGAATATGATGAGAAAATTTTCTAGAAGTTTGGTATTCAGATCAGTCAGTCAGTCAGCAGTCAATGAAGAGATGTACAGACATAGACCCAATCTATCAACCAATAAGAAAATTGATAAACGACAGGAAGGTCAGAGGTGAAGCAGAGGAGCAGTCAGTGACATAACAATCAAAGGAAACAACTAATCACAAACCAGTTTGTCAAGGTAAGCCACTAAATCAGTGAAAGTGAGATACTGACAACTCACTTCATACTGAAGTTAGTGGTGATGATGTTGTCTAGAAAGACGATGAAAGCTCCACGATTAAACAATCCAGTTCAGAGAACATAATACAACCAAGATCATCGACCTGAGCTACAAATATTCTCCCTACTTAAGTACAATAGTTTTATGCTATCCATCCTATTGTATGGTTGTATGTTAATGCATGGATTGCAATAGACGAGTGCTTTTTCTAGATTATTGATGTTATTTAGGTCTGTCATTCTATATTGAGCTAAATTCCTGTGTTCAAATAATCTAACTGACCCCAATCGGCTAGTTCGACCAATTTACTTGACTTCATAGTCATTACATGGAATTTGGTTGATTAGATTATTTTGCTTAATTGGTTCTATCGTATCATTAAGCCAGCTGACAAAGCTTACCTATACGTAGGTTTGTAGGTTTAAGTGCCACCCTGTTTTCAGCTTTGTTATGGATTCTACATAAAATCTCTGATGTTCTTTCCTTATAAGGTAACACAATTGAGACTGTGAGTTTCTTTTTACTCGTGTTGGAGTTATAACTGTGTGTTGTAAATCAACTAAACAAATGTAATATAGAATTAAATTCTTCAAAAATGCCAAAGTTTTACACATAAACATAATAACCAATTGTATTCTATGAAAATCTGTTACTACAGACAAAATGAAGAAACTTAATTGTTTATTTTGATCTTTGCTAGGGTAGCTTTTAAATTAGCCCAGAGTCAAGAGTGGGTCTAAAGGCTACCCTAACAACTGCTGAAATAACCAACCATGTTACAGGGTTTCCGTTAAGGCGTTAGTTTATTACAAAGTAGTAGTAAACTGTGATTGGTTGGTTCAGAAGTTATTAGGGTGGCTTTTTAAGTCATTCCGATTTAATATCTCGAATCCCTTACTAACAGAGTGACTTTAAAGACCGCCTTGGGAACTGCTGAGATGACCATTCAGGGTTCAATATTTCTTCCAGTAAATTACTTTTCAATAAAATAAAGGAATATAATTGGCTGCCTCATCAGTTGCTAGGGTGACCTTTAAAATGATCGAGTGTAAAGAATACGCTAGCAACCGGTAAAATAGCCAATCAGCTTTCGGTATGTCAGGTGTGAAGGCAGTTATTTTTGAAATGAAGAAATTTGATTGGTTATCTCAGTGGTTCCTAAGGTGGCTTTTAAAGTCACTCTTTAAAATCACCCTTACTGACAGGTCTCCCGAATTTGAGCTAGCAACAAATGAGTATCCAGAATCCATAATTATTAATTACAAATCGATAATAATCCCATTTTGGTTAGAGTTAACAGACGATTACCTTCCCCTAATCAGGCGTAAAACAACATTTCACAGGTCGGAAGAAAACTTGTAAAAAAACACTTACAAAAGAGAAGTGATAATTGTTTTATAATAGTCTGTTATATGTTTATGATATACATATAAATACGATTGTAGAGCTTTAGAAAATGATATCGTCGAAAAAGAAAATTACCTTCGCTGAATTATCTCTTCTCTATGACTCAATGAGCAGAATGTCTTATAAAATAAATATAATAGTTTAGTTTAAGGCTTATAAGAATTTTAATCAACTATTTCGTCCTAGTATAGGACTCCCCAGTAACCTACACCCCGTCAGATATCGAACTCAGGACTTTCAGGTTTCATAGTGAATGGATTTACTATTCATGGACTTGGACTAGAGTTCATTGGTCCACATTTTTTTTAATCACTTCGTGACTATCCACAAAGATCTTCGGTTGGCATTCGATTCACTTCCGACTGGTTAACCCAACAGGTTACTGCTTCCCACCAGAACTTCAGGATATTCATCTTGAAGTATATCACTAGTGAGGAGGTAATTTAGTAACTGAATGTTACCAAAACATGATGTTAAATAATCTCTGAATGAACCGATTCCCAGATGAACCATCCCACCAGTGGATCGTATAGTGATGGATTTTTCGAAATTCTGATAATTGGATGGATATATGACATATGAAGTCGGTTAAGTTGGAGATGACAAGAGATCCCCATTATCTACTATGGACACGGGCACCATTTTCAACTTTTATACTGCAGTTCAGCTGCTGCTTCGTAGCACTTTCTCTGTGGTATCTGATAGTTCACAACTTGGTTATGATATCAGTAATGAATAGGTACTACTGAGAAGTTGAAAACCAGTTTGGGATAGGTTCATAGAATCTCTTGGAATCTGGTGGGTTTACAGTTCTTGTCAGTGTACCTACGAAACATAGCTGTTAAATGTGGAGAAAATGAAGAGGTTTCAGGTGTTCAACC